GAAAAACTTGCACTCGTGAAACGTATGCAATTTTATCCTCTCATTTCAAATCAGGTAAATATTTTCGAAAAAAATGATAGGTTTTAAGTTGTATTGAGATTAAGTGGGATACTTCCAGATTTTCCATGTGGTTCGCTTGATCCGCCAATTTTCTCGATACTCTCACGGTTAAACCGTTAACTGGAGAAAAATCTTAATGTCATTAAATAAAGATAATGTTATATTCTTTTATTTCATATAGGACCATTATTGACGAAAAAGGGATAGGTTTTGAGTTATTTTGAAAAAACTGAAAAAAGCGTCATTATTGCACATTTTTGCTTACAAAATGTATTTCGGGCACACTTCCTGTTGGGAAAATTTATATTCGCGTTCGGCGACCTCAAAAACATATAGAAGCCACATTTCAAAACTACACCGAAGCTTTCCCTTATTTTCTACCGTTTCACCCACCAGGGCCCTGCGCAGAGACCACGCCCCTCCTCCGCCCCCCACAGGGACAGCTGCGACGCGCGCAAATAAATGCAGCTGCGGATGTGACATCGACGTTTCGAAATAGCGATGTTCAAACTTCAAAAATCGATATTCAAAACACTTCGACCGATAACCATTCTTGTGTTTGAACATCCAAGTTAGTAAAACTATTTTGGCAACCTTAAACATCAGTGCTCACGTGCAGTAGAGGGGGGCGGCGTTTGCATGTCACAATAGTCGTGTACATTAATTTATACTTGCGGTTTAGCTGACAAAGTCATAATTTTCTCAAAACAATTCAACGTTTACTATTTATTTGGTAAACAAAAAATAATGCCCTACATCTATCAACAAAAAAATATTAACTTTTTTCTACTTAGGGCGACTTTTGTCTGAAGAGTTACAGATATCTCAAAATGATTGTAATTTTTATTATTATATTTTTCGTGCACAAATAAAACATCAACCCAGTAAAAAATCATCCAGCTAAAAACATTGATGTTTTGAAAAACCCCGGGTCAATAAATCAATGTTAAATACATCAAAACTATCGATGTTTGTACAAAATTTGTAATCAAAAACTATCGATGTTTGGAAACAACGACATTGAAGTTGCATTCCTAACTGCAGCGAAAAAAGCGGAGGGGCGCACGCAGCGCCTGAAATTGGAAACGCGACGGAGAATGGAAGCGTGGCTTTCGCCGCTGGTGGATTCCCAATTTCCCCAGGTTTTCCGAGTTACGTAGTCGCAAAGCATCATTCCAGACGCGGGTGAGGTAACGACATTCACAAATATCATGAAGGCACTGGTTTAGAAAATTACTTTCGGGGAAAATTCGTTCTCTTTGTAGAGGTGCATCACGCTTGCGGCCAAAGTTAAAAGACAAGCTAACATTAATTTGCGTTAATCAATAAACTGTTTTTTCATATACATTTGTATGTTTTCTTTTGGACCTTACATTCATGTTCACTTCTTTCTTTATTAGTGGGAATCATACTGAATTCAACCTAAACCTCATATAATGGTTGTTACTAATGTTTAGGTGCGCTGGAATAGCTGAAATA